ATAAAGGGTTAAGTACGACATCCCAACCACCTGAAGAAGGCCGGAGCGTACAACGGCCAAAACGTTGTAATAAATATGACGACAAAGAAGAGGACAATAGTCTGAATAATGTAAATAGTGTACATAATACCTCATCTCAGAAATATAGAGAGATACTGAAAGGCCGAAACGTTGTAATAAATATGGCAACAAAGATGAGGACAATAGTCTAAATAATGTAAATAGTGTACATAATACCTCATCTCAGAAATATAGACAGATACTGAAAGGCCGAAACGTTGTAATAAATATGGCAACAAAGATGAGGACAATAGTCCGAATAATGTAAATAGTGTACATAATACCTCATCTCAGAAATATAGACAGCTACTGAAAGGCCGAAACATTGTAATAAATATGGCAACAAATATGAGGACAATAGTCCGAATAATGTAAATAGTGTACATAATACCTCATCTCAGAAATATAGACAGATACATACGGAATGTTGTTAAAATTCTATATGTGCAGGTAAATTTTGATCAACATCCATCCGAACATATATTTTGGTGACTGTTTTTAATAATGTTGCTTTAATCTTACATTTTACTTGTTGGTTCAATCTCTTTTCCCAACCTAATTATGCATCTTTGTAATCTATGTTTAGATTTCCCGAAGGCTCGTTTTATCTAGAACTATATATTTTGCAACCTGCCTGTGTAATTGGAACAGAGACTGCGAGCTATACTAAAAACAAAAACATTAGTAAGATCAACGAAGATTAGGAAGTTGTGGAGAGCCATAATACCCTACGTCTTGAAGAGCCACGGCATAAAAAATGTATCTGTTCAAACCTGAGTTTAATGTCTTCAGACTAAACCCTCTTTTGTTCATATTTTATGCATTCTTTCTCTTCTCTTTTTTTAAGAAAGGATTTATTTCACATTTTTAATTTTTTTTTAATCGTTTTGTTCCCAAGAAAGGCGATAAAGTCACTAAGCAGCAAATGGTTACTGTGAGTGAAAGAAGACAAGAAAATGTTAGTGGAGAGAAGATATAATAAACACCCAGGATTCAGAAAACTGAAGATGGCGATTGATGTTGCATTTAAACTTTTCATAATTGTCGGGGAGAAGAAATCAAGAAACGGTTACATCTAGCTATTTCAAGAGTAAAACACTGGAACCTAGTTCCTAGTTTATTATTACGTCTAAAGGTCGAGGTGCCAAGCGAGAAAGCTCATTAGAACAGTTGTCATGAAAATATTTATAAAAAGAAAAGCACAGATAAGCCACGCGATGAAAAAATGGCTGAAGTCGAGATGCCAGGACAGGGCCGATAACATTACAGAGGTTTATTTGGATTTTTTCAAGAATCTCGAGATATATACTAAGGACACGAGGCAGCTATATTCGATGCATAGACGAATAGTAGATTTCTAAACATACAAGATGGATTATCTAGCAATGGCACAGTGAACCAAATCAGCAGACCTAGAAATTGATTCAATATAACTTCATGTCGGTAGAAAAAGTGAAACCGATAAGGTGCTATGAGTTGCTCTCCAGGAAGTTGGCATCAGCCATACTGAGGGAATTCTAAAATGGTTCTCTAAGATAACTAAAAGATTGCAGTTTTCCTATGGAGGCGGTAAGGTTTACAAGCCATTCCTTGTCACAGTTAACAACAGACTGAAAGTCATTTTTGAGAGCAGCTGCCAGTTTTACTATATCAGACCTATCAGGTTTCATATTAAGACAGGTGTAAATAGTTGTGTCATCAGCAAAAATACCGAGTTGGAACTGATGACATAGGTAAGGTCGTTGATCAAAATGAGGAAAAAGCAGGTACAAGAATAGAGTCCTTGGGGACCCCGTATTAATGTGATAGGACATAGAACAGTGGTCGTTCATCAGGGTGAGGACTTCTAGAACATATTTATCCAGGCAAAGACATTTCAATCAGTATTTGTCTCTTGACTTCACCTTCTGTAAAATCGTAGGAGGTTTTTGAAATAAACACTTACCTGTCAATATAAGTTGGCGAGAATTTTTAAATCTTTGTGCTATGTACATTATACAAGTGATTTTGGTAGAGACATCGACAATTGAACTGCTTTCTTTTCCAGGTTTTTCTGTTGAAGGGGAAAGCAATATTTTAAAGCAAGACCTATCAAATGGCGTATGAACCTTCTTGTAGAACCAACAGCCATTTAACACAAAAGGGTAGACTGGGCTACATAGCTGTGGATGTAACCGGTGGGGTGATGACAGGGCATAGCGGAGAGTTCATACGATGAATCAATGGCTAAGGCGTATTGTTTCCAGGAGGAAAGCAATGTGTTCGTGACCAGGGCGATCCTTCAATGTGTAGAACAGCGGCTGTGATTAGATGCAATGACTGCTGGTCCTCACCAGATCTACTCGCTCGAGACACGCTACGCATAGCTATCCGGCTTTCAACTCATGTGGGTAGAGGGAATTGGTCAGGTGCTCAAGTGCACAGCAGCCCTACGACCACACTCGATCATGAAACTGACGACGACAACAATGATGATGGTTGTGATATGCTGAGGCGAATGTGTGGATAGCTTAACGGTTATCAACGCGGGAAATGGAATCAGCGTGCCGAGTTCAAATTCTGAACGAGTCGGGTTCCTTCACTAGAAATTGAGGCCATTTAAAAAAAAAAAGGGATGAATACACACCCCTTCATTTATGCATTAAATAACATGGTAGACGGTGTTTCTTGCCTTGTGTGTCAACCAGAATTCAAACCCATGAAAATAATAGGGCTTTCTATAGCCTTTCGAGGACAACTGTGTATTCAAAACAGGTCTAAAGAGGAATCGGTTTCGTCGGACGCTTTTATCTTAAACACACTCACTGTTGTCTAGCTGCAGTACATGCAGTGTCCCTAACGCTATAATGGCGTAAGGGACTTATAATCACGAAAGGGGATCCAGTAAAGAGATCTCCAGACACGGTATTTACTCTGTCCCCGCACTTGGACGAGATGTGACACAAGGTCTATTTTTAGGTGGGGAACCGAGCACGTACACCCGGGACAGGAATAAAAATTCCCCTCAGCCCCCGCAACCGTCGCTTGCGCTGGCCTCGGTGCGAGCACCGATCCCTCCCTCTGGTACAATGGGAGGGCGCGGCCTCGTGTAGTTAATTGTTTCCCAGGGCTGGGCACCTCTTCAGTATTATTTACCAGTTGTCCATCTGACCTTTGACAGAGAAGACCCTGAGCGCACTCTGTCCAAGGACAGGGACGCAACTGAGAGATGATAAGTAAACATACAAATTACTCAGAAAGAGTAAGGTACGCTCAAGAGTAGATATTTACTCAAGCCCCCACGATGTCAGGTTGTGACACAAGGTCGGTTTAATGTGGGGAGCCCGAGCGCGTACACTCGGACAAGGAACAAAAATTCCCCGAGCCCCCGCAACCGTCGGTTGCGCTGGCCTCGGTGCGTGCACCGATGCTTCTCTCTAGTGCAATGAGAAGGCGCGGCCTCGGGCAGCTGTTCCCCGGGGCCAGGCACCTCTCAGTATAATCTTCCACAGTTGCGACTATGTCCTATGATGGAGTCGCCCCTGAGTGGACTCTGCCCAAAGACAGAGACGCAACTGAGAGATGATAAGTAAGCGTGTACAAATTACTCAGGAAATATTAAGGTACGCGTAAGAGTAAGGTAAGAGATCTCCAGACACTGAGTTCGATACTGATTGAATGGGCTATTCTTATCTAAACTGAATCGACTGTCTTTGGTAAAAATCATTATAATACACCATTTCTGTCACCAGTTATCACAATTCATAAAAGCATGAATCTGGGTCGACGCAGTAGAGATAACAATTGTCTTTGTACTTTTAAACGAGCCGCACCAGCTAGGTAGTTTAGAGCTCTCGCAAATATTACAAAACTGTGAATTTCCCAGCAAGGAATTTTTGTTTTTCTATTTCCGGTTTTAAGGAAAAGGAAGTGTGTCTGAAGCCAAAAGTAACAAACGCCGTTGACAATCAGAATGGTATCCGGTGAATTGATGGTGAAACCGCGTTGCGTACTTCCGGTGCCGGAAGCGGAAGTAAAGACTAGTTATAACCGACATTTGGCGTTTCTGTAGATTCTTTGTAATGTAACGTTACCAGCGATGAATCGAAGATATTTAACAAAAACTGTCAAAATATCCCCGCCAAACGCACACACATACACACGCAAACACGCATACAAAGACGTACGGAAAGTTATAAAATGCACACACATCAGATAGAGGGCAAATATATATATATATATATATATATATATATATATATATATATATATATATATATATAGAGAGAGAGAGAGAGAGGTGAGAGAGAGAGAGAACTTTAGAATTAATTTCAATTTAACTGCAAATCTTATTTTTGTTAAATACAGAAAAGCATCGATCTTTTTGTAATCATATAATTCTTTACTCCATAGCAAAAATTCTTCATGTGTTCGATCCCTCAAAGATAATGCAGGACTACAGCAATAAATGTTAAACACGCTTTTCTTACTCTCCATCCTTTTTGTGAGCACTTGTTTTAGCATCTTGTGCCAGATTAGCTTAATCTCGGGAAATCTTCAAAAATATCTGTCAAAATAAATATGACCACAAGACAAAAGAAGCCAATTACTTTATTGTTATTGGCTCTCTTTTTTACTAAAGTTCCTATAATACAAGGCTCAAGAGGCATCTAAGGTAGAGGTTTACATTGATCTATTGTTTCGTTTTCTACGGATTATAAACCCTTTGTAGGTTATTTAAAGCCATGAAATATTTTTAGAGTGTAAGATCGTTTTAGGAGGTAAGGAGATAATAATGGTTTAGCGATACAAGTTTAATTAACTCAGAGCTCAGGGAAAATGAAGTGGATTCATGCCTTTCCCAAGTCCATTTGCGCGTAAGTGAATATAACAAAACCAACAGGAATTGGAACTTGGGTCTCCGATTAACCATTATCCAATACACCACCCGCACATCCAAGCTTACAACACTTAGTATTCCCAAACGGTCACCCATCTCAGTAGTGATAAGGCTCGACCTTGCTTAACTTCGGTAATCGTACAGGGACTGGTAGTTACAGTTAATGATGTATGTAATATAAGCAAAAGAGAAGTTCGTAACCAGTGAAGATTATGAAGCAGATAGGAAGAATAGATAAAGATTGACCTTTGACCTGAAAAGGTTAATACGATCATATAAAGTAACTATTGATGGTAGAAAGATTGCGTTTTGTTATATTCGGAAGAGGTTCTGACCACATTAGAAACATCGGTTTGGATTGATACAGCATATATTAACACTGCCAAATCCCCACCCCCATGGAGTATATTTTGCATTACCACCTCTGACTAAAATTAAAAGTAGCTCGCTCTTTAACTTCGAAGCGAGAATACGTGTTTTTTTGTTGTTTTTCTTCTTCCTCCAGCAAAAAAATGCGTCTTGTAAATACTCCAGTCCCAATGGGGTTGAACTATCTGGTAACTTCAAATCGCTTGACGCATCAAGGTCGTAGGGGGACCACATGTACTGCAGCCGCAGTGGTGTTTCTTGCGCAAGAGAGCCTGACGGAGACCAACCCTCTCCAGGCAGGTTTTGAATTCAGAGTTACCTTCTCCTAGATCGGTTGCCACTTAAGGCTATAAGACCCAGTCTGTTCTGCTATTTGCCCATAGCTGGAGGGAGAAGATTCATACCTTTCCCTAGGGTATTATCACGTAATTGAATTTAATTGATCCGACTGGAATTCGAACTCGGCTCTCCGATTCTTCGATCCGAACCGCCATCTATCACTTCCTTTTTTTATTCACCTAGCTTTTCTTAAATTATTTTTGACAATACATTTTTTAATTGTTCATTGTTTAAATTCCATGTCTTTTTTTTTTTTTTTTTACTTGGACTCTCATGACTCTGAAAAAATATTGTTTGCTCCCTGAAATTTTAACTCTTTCTAGTTTTATGAATATTTGTTCTTTCTGTTATCATTTGCCATATATTGTCAACCTTCTCGTTCCGCAACAAACAGAACACGGCCTCATAATGGTCGGCCTTTTCGGTGTAATTTCCTTAACAAGTATATTTTCACAAGAGGGATTTGATAACCCCAGGCCCAACAGTTTTGTATTCAAAGCTTTCATTATCCTAGACAAGTTCCCAGCTAAAGCTTGAAAGGCTAGTCTGCTTACGTACTGCATCCATAGTATTCTCAATATCCTACTGTAGAGCCATATCTCTGTTGTCACAAGTCACCTCTTCATCCGAGGAAATTGTCCAGCATTCAATGATATAAAAAATATGGATATTACATAGCAGTTCAGCTCTATTTTCTTTGTTTCTAACGAAATTTTTGTTTCTTAAGACTTAGTTTAGCTTTTAGTAAAACACTTCTCTTCCGTGTTAACATATATTTAAATTTCTGTAATTATCTAGCAATGAATTATATATAGTCTTTACACTTTATGTTCAGAAATAGATGATTAACATAGGGCAGTTTAGTTTTTGAAGCGTTAAAATTAACAAGCTAACCTTTGCACCAGTTAACAACAGCCTGTAGCTAATTTGTTAGATCGACCGCTCTTCTCTACATTATATTCGCGTGGCCGAGTGGTTAGAACGTTTGCATTCTGACTAAGAGACCCTGGTTCGAATCTCACTACGGTCGATTTATATATGTAATAGGGTGGATTGACCCAAAGTTTGAAAAGTGCCTGAAAACCATATCAGGGGTTGACCCAAGCCTTGTTAGTGAAATTAGGTAGACGGAACCCTTGTGGGCCGACGATAGCTGTGCTAGCACGAAGTTACAAGTCATCGTGGTCGAGGGCTTGAGCGTGCTGAACTTGTTTAAATTGTTGATCTCGCAGAAACTGTAACTAAGGTCTGCTCAGCATAGTTGCAGTATAAACCACAGGAGCTCTGTGTGGGTGTTGAATAAACACAAATGCTCCTGAGCAAGCGTCTGCAATAGGGATTGGCTAGCCGCCCTAATAGACGGGTATCCTCGTATATTAGGGGCCACCTATATATTTGAAATATTTACTTACCGTTTCATTTTGCTTTTTGCATGTCTTTTTTGTGACAAACTTAATTCCAGATTTTCATTTCCATGCCAATGATTTCAATTTCTTTTCAGATTACCCTACGCTCTTTGTTCAACTTTTTCCCAGTTTTGTATTTATTTACATTATTTACATTGTTCAGACTGTTGGCCTCGTGTTTATCGTCATGTTAACAACGTTTCGACCGTCGTACGTTCAGATGATTGGAATTTCGAACTGAACCCTTTATTTCGTCCATTGGCGTACATTGTTCTAGTTCCACTAGCCATGCCTCTTCCGGATGTCTCAGTTATCTTCCTTTGAACTCAACCCTCCATGTTTTTATTCACTACTGTTCACCTCTTTGGATCAAGTCACTGGATCCAACCAACGCTTTTATCCACTGGGCCATGTGACTTCAAGCGTTGGTTGGATCCAGTAACTTGACAAAAAGAATTGTGAGTTCAATACCTGGCTACGGCATTGGTGAACAAAAACTAGAATTGTTGAGTTAAAGAGAGATAAGTGAGGCATCCGGAAGAGGCATGGCACGTGAAACGAGAACAATCTACCGCGATGGACGAAATAAAGGGTTCAGTTCGACATTCCAATCACCTGAATAAGGCTGGAGACTACAGCACTTGATACATCGTAAATATGGCAATAAAGATGAAGGCAACAGTCCGAACTATGTAAATAATTGTAATACCCCATCTGAGAAATAGAGACAGATTTTGAAGGTGAATCTGGCAATAAAGATGAGGGTAACAGTCCGAACTATGTAAATAATTACAATACCTCATCTGAGAAATAGAGACAGATTTTGTATTTCTCAGTAACTCAATCTTTTTTCTCTTTTGATATCTTTCTTATAAATTAGAATCATCAGTCCCACGATCGGGTGGGGTCATAGTATCACTGCACTGCTGGTCATCTGAACAGTTCTTTCCACATGTCTCAGATACGTGACGATGTCTGAGTCTGTGTTAATGATCTTCCAGTCTATCAATCTTCTTTTTTGTTCGAATTAGATTGTCATACGATAACGTCATTAGAGAGTATCAAATTTCAAATAAGGTACTGTCAAACATAAATATCTCTTTCAGAGAAATTTAAGTAAATAGAAGTTTTTGCAACACACATTAGTGTCTTGAAATCCTCCAAGTATTTCGTATTGTTAAAGTTATTGCTAACATTTTTGTCGAGATTTACAAACTCTATGTTTCGTTCAATTTCACAAACCAATCGATGAAATTTGAAGAAGCTGATTGAAAAATAATTTGGCAAAAATGATACTTCACGTTTTTATTCACTCTAGTAAAACCAACTTTACTTTGTACCCCATTACCTGTTTGCACCTTTTCTCAAAAGCTGATTTCGATCAGTCAATGTATGGCTATTTTAGAGGGTGTGACAAATAACGGACTAACAGAAGTCATAGAATTTTATATATAAGAATTTTTTTTTTAATTTTAGTTTAATTTCTTACAGTATTTAGTATTGTTGAAGTTATTGCTAACATTTTTGTTTAGATATACATACTCTATATTTCCTTCAATTTCACAAATCCATCGATGAAATTTGAATGAGTTGATTTGTTTGTGGGAAAATATTCACGGTTTCATAATTTATATAATTTAATTTTACAGGACTTCATAGTAAACAATATTTTAAAGAAATTATTTTTCTTTTAAACAGCGAAGAATAAATTCTTAGGGTTCCTTACTTTTGAGCTTACAACATACAACTGACCATGAAATATTTCTTTCTTGAGACAAATGCCAATTTCTTGAAGCGTTTATAGTACTTGTAAAAAAGCGAACTGAAAACTGGATTCTGATATATATAAAAACTTAAAGATATGCAAAAAATAATATTGCATTTTTATTAAATAAGTATTTGTTATTTTACTGATTATTTTTTTTTTTTAAGTAGTGGGAATAATTTTGTCTGTTAAATAAAAACATAATTTTACAAAAAAGAAAAAAAAGAAAATTTATTGTACTAAGCTAGGCATCCTCGTACATCCAACCGCACTGTGGACCCCCCCCCTCCCATACATGTTTGCACTACACCCCAATATTTGGTTTTGGTCGGTCAATGTATGGCTATTTTAGAGGGTGTGACGGACGGGTTAACGAAAGTCACATAATTTTATATATAGACGTCTTTTAAGAATTATATGATATCTAAATAAATTTAATTCATTATCTAACATCCAGAAAAGCAAATAGCATATCTGCGAAACTCTGACTGGGTAAGATATGTTTCATCAGTTTCCCTCTCACTTCCCCCTATTTCTCTTTATCTGTTTCTCCCTTGGAATATATATTTAACCCGTTCATCTGTTTAGAAATGTGTGTCTGCTTTTCGTGCAAAGTGAAGAAATGGCGTTATTTTGCCATGTTGACCTTTAGAGCGGTCTCTTCTGAAATAAAACCATTTTAGACATTTTTAACAGAATTCTTCCCATTCTGTCCTTCTTGCAGACTAGCTATTTTTTTTCATGCCGTTCAAAGTCATGAAGAAGGAAATAACATCGAGTTGGATTAGAACTGGCATTTGGTGAAGTCTGGCACCAAAAAAATATTAAAATTTGACACGCTATGTACAGCAGATTCACCCCACAAGCAATGAACCGTGAAACTAGTTTTGTGACCATCACTCTGCGACAAATAATCATTTGACCACTCACTTTTGCTTCAACACACGACAATGCAGATCGAGAAATACGCTGCCAATAAAGATTAAAAAGAAAGAAAATTGAGAAGTAACATAAAGAAAGGAAGAAATAAAAAAGAAACATAAAAGAATGAAGGAATAAAAAGGAAACAAAAAAAGGAAAGAATAAAGAGGAAACAGAAAGAATAAAAACGAAACGAAAAATGAAATAAAAAGGAAACATAAAGAAGAAGGCATGAAAAGGAAACATACATAAAAGACGGGTTAAAAAATATACGTAGAAGGAAAAGCTGAAAGAAAGCAAAAGAGCAGACGATCAAAAATGAAGAAAAAGGAGGAAACAGAAAAAAATAACATGGCGGTTCTGATTTGTGAATCTCAGAATGGTAATATTAGACGTTTCCGAAGTAAGGCAAAGTCAACCCTATTCAGTACTGAGATGGATGAACGCTTGGATGTGGAGGTGGTGTAATAGATAATGGCTCGGAATTCTTAATCAGAGAGCGGAGTTCCAATTTCCGTTGGGTTCGTTATATTCACCTACGCGCAAATACCCTTGGCAAAGTTATCAATCCACCTGTTATCTCCTAGATATGGGTTAATTAGTAAGACCTGTATTATTAAACCATTATTATTTGAGAAAAAAATCTTAGACTCTAAAAATATTTTCTGGCTTTAAATAACCTGCAAAGGGTTGATAAGCCCTAGAAAACAAATCAATCACTGAAATATTGATCAACTTCAGAGACATGCCTTTTTTATTTATTTCCATTCTCTGGAATATAAATGTATAGAAACTACAGTGACCATAAATTGAGGGAACAGTTCATATATTGATTGCAATATAGAATTGATCCACCTCTTTATATTTACATTATAATTTCTTGTTTGCTTATCAAATTCTGATTAGGTACGAATCCACCTCCTCTCACCCAGCTATGGGTTAATTAGTAAGAAATGTATCACTAACCCATTATTATCTCAAAAAAAAAAATCTTAGAATCTAAGTATATTTTCTGGCTTTAAATAACTTGCAAAGGGTTGATAAACTGAAGAGAACGAATCAATCAATCAATCAATCACTGAAATATTGATTAGCTACACAGACATGTCTTTTATCTTTATTCCCATTCTCTGGAATATAAATATATAGAAACAGTGGTCATAAAGTGAGGGATCAGTTTTATATTGATTGTAAAATAGAATTGCCCCCCCACTTTATATTCACATTATAATTTCTTGTTTATCAAATTCTGCTTAAGTATGAATCGACCTCTTCTCTCCTCAGCTATGGGTTAATTAGTAAACTAAACCATTATTATCTCAAAAAAAAAAATCTTAGAATTTTAAAATATTTTCTGGCTTTAAATAACCTGCAAAGGGTCGATAAACCGTAGAAAACGTACCAATCAATCATTATTAGACAGGTACTCAGAGACACTAGACGGGTATTTCGAGAAAAGAGACAAAGAAGATAAAAAAGTAAGGGTAGTATATATATATATATATATATAAAGTGAAACGAGAAGATATAATAAAAATGTAAGGTAAGGCGATGAGACGGGGCTATTGTGGAAACGGAGGAGACAAGGTGAAAGATGAAAGATGAAAAATGTTGTGGTGGCAGCAGAAGGAAAAGGAAGAGAAGAAAAATAAACTTAGGCAAGCGGAAAGAAGGAAAATGTTCAAATGGTTTGATATCAATGAAAATAGAAGGCAAGACATTCTAAAGAAAAGAGTAAAAAGAACTAAAACCATTGGGCGTGGTCGAAGATGGTCATTGAAAAACATCAACATATCGTGGTTATATCGCCACATACCTCACGGGAGGTTCGACTTCTCACCTCTCTGAGTAAAGTGCAATATGTAAATATATTATAGAAATCCTCACGCAGGTAGTTGACTTCCCCACACGTTTTTCCTACAACCGGGACGGTAAGGCTTCTCTTCGCGATCTATGTTTTACCTCCATCCCCGAGTCCTGTAGCGCCACGCAGCTCTGCCCTCTTGGCAACTACGATCATGCAGTCGTGTCTGTCAACATCTCCTTCAACTCCACCTCCTGAAAGAACCTCCTAGATACGTTTTCTTATTTCTATCAGATTTTTGTGGACAACCAAGCTGTACACTGCCACTCGATAGTTAAGCTGTTCTATGCAGTTCGGACGGTAAAAGCAAAGAGAAAACGATTACAAATCTTAGATACCCTTTACATTACAAGAAAGCAACACGCTATCAATAAAATATGTTTCAATCTACGAACTCACGTGTTAACCTTTTTTAAATTCATTTTTGACACGGGACGTTAAAGTCTATGTCATCTTAGTAGCCTATGTTTAATTCAATTTTTAAAATGTCAACACGGGTGCCATACTAGTTATTTATCGACTTTCTAACTTCTTCCTTTGAAAACGACCAACAATGTTTAAAACAGTCATGGATATCAACATAATCATCAGCATCCTGGGTAAGACCATAAACTAGATCTAGCAGCAAGGCCTCTAATCAGAAGGTTTTGAGGAGCATGGAACCAACTCTTAATTGCATGTTGTTCCCAGGTCCACCCAGACCCGGGGTGGTAGCACCTGTTAGGGTCCCAGCTATGGACAAATAATTGACACCTAAACTGGGGTGAATACACTACGAACGTATAAAAATAGATTTTAATACCAGCAATACATTTTTGTAAAAGATTATTACCGGCAATAAATTTTTGAGGAAAAAAAATTAGCAGCAATACAGTTTTGTAAAATAAAAATCTTGTTGGCATTAAATAATCCATTGAGGTTGATATGACGTAATACAAACCAAACCAAATCAATGTATACTGAAATATATAGATAGATAGATAGATAGATAGATAGATAGATAGATAGATAGATAGATAGATAGATATTACCAGCGATTAAAATCTCGTTGGCATTAAATAATCCATTGAGGTAGATATGCCGTAATACAAACCAAACCAAATCAATATATACTGAAATAGATAGATAGATAGATAGATAGATAGATAGATAGATAGATAGATAGATAGATAGATATTACCAGCGATTAAAATTTTGTTGGCATTAAATAATCCATTGAGGTTGATATGACGTAATACAAACCAAACCAAATCAATTTATACTGAAATATATATATGTATATATATATATCGATAGATAGATAGATAGATAGATAGATAGATAGATAGATAGATAGATAGATAGATAGATATTACCAACAATAAAAATCTTGTCTGCATTAAATAATCCATTATGCCGTAATACAAACTAAACCAATGTTTAGAAGTGCCTGGAACATCGCAGATAATTCTGTATGCAACGCAGGTGTTGAATCAAAGACGGCAACACGAAAGATAAAGAAGAAATTTGGTGTAAAGGGGAGATAAGAAGGAAGAGAAAATTAAAATTTGAAACAAACGTCAAATTTAAATTTTATTGAACATCAAGGAAAAGATCAAATGTTAAAAAGAAAAACAAAGAAATAAAATCTTTCGTGGGTGGGCGATGATCATTGTTAAATGGAGAAATTTGAAAAGAAAAGATAAAGCGAGAAAGAGAAAAAAATGCAATAACGCGGAATGGGAAGAAAAGAAGAGAAAAAAAAGGGTAAATGACAGAAATAAAGAGGAATGGACGAAATGGAGAAAGAGAAAAATAAAGTGAAGAAGACAGGAGTGAAATAGAGAGAGGGGGATTTAAACAAAGAGAGAATAATTAGTGAAAGTGAACAGAGAAAGAGGAAACGAAACGGAATAAAGAGAGAACAAGGAGAGAATGAGGGAAAGTCAGAGGAAAACAGGAACGAAACAGAGAAGAAGAGGGGGGGAAAGCGAGAAGAACATTTGAAAGAAATAGAGAGAGAGAAAGAGAGGGAGAGAGAGAGAAAAGGAAAGAAAGACAAGACAACGAAGGAACGCGGAAGAAAAAGAGAAAAGTAAGTCGAAACGCACAAACGGAAGGAAACAGGAAAAGAGGAAATGAAAGAAAAGGAAAAACAATTATGAAACGAAATAAAGAGGAAAGAAAAGAAAAAAGGAAAGGAGAGGGAATAAGAGAGAGAAAAAAGAAAGAAGGGGAGAACGGAAAGGGAATGAAAGATAGAAAGAAGGAAGGAGAAAAAAAAAGATGAAAAAGACGAAACAGAAAAGGGTAAAGCGAGAAAGAACATTTGAAAGAAATAGAGAAAGATAAAATTAGGAGATGACAAAGAAGTAAAAGGGGGTGAGGAGAGAAACAAGAAAATATAGAACGAAGTAATTGATAGAGGGAGAAAACGGAAAGAGATCAAAGAGAGAGTAATAGAAGAAAAGGGGGGAAAGAAAGAGGATGATACCGAAAGAAAAAAAATGTATGGTTTGATGGAAGCGCTAAGGAAATAAATTTAACATTTTAGCAATGATTAACAGAAACTGAGAAAACATTCATGAGAAGAGAAAGCATACAATTCTTGAATTTAAAACGAAATGGAAACAACCCTAAAAAAAACGAAGAATCTGATTGGCTCAACCAAAATCGAAGAGGAGATGAAACGAGGCTCAAGATAACCAATGTAAAAAAAAATTAAAAAAAAGGAAAAAAAAAAAGCATTTGATCTTTGCTTCTTCTGACCATGATGCAGATCGACGGAAGTTCGTTAGACAGAGAACAAATTGACTTCCGGATAACAAAGCGCGGGAAAGAGTACCCAACCATGAGTCCCTGAATGTCAGGCTTTCTTTATTGGCATTCAACAGGAGGAAATCGTCGAACCTATCCTAAATTTACGAACAAACGAACGCGCATCAGAACGAGTATGTTTAATGAACACGGGAATATACTAGTTGTCTTTCATTTGCGTATATTTTAAATGTCTTTATTCATTATTAAATTGTGTTGTTTCGCCGATTATTAGCTTCTATTCCTGATGAAAACCAGATATTAAGACTCCGTTGTTCAAAGATATGCTTTCAAATCGACTTTATTCGGAGATCTTGATTTTTAGTGTCGCTCTTCGCTCAACGAAAGGAGAATCCAATGCCTTCTCAAGATCTCTTAGAAAGGATTGGCATTTAAGCTGTAATACATTTGTACGAGTTTTTATTTTTTTTATTGTTTCGTTCATTTAGATGAATTCTCAGACTTTATTTGTTGTCAGTATGCTAGACATGATTTATCATAGTCTATCAGTCTACCATACTGATAGCACCAGAAATTACTAAAGACTGAAACAGTCTAAAGCAATGTTTCTCAACGTGGACAGGGTGGACCACCGGTGGTCCACATAGCATTTCTAGTGGTCCAGACAAAATTCGTAGCCATAAAAAATTCCAGCCATTTCACAAAAATGTATCTAAATTATTCATATTTCAAAGAATTAAAAAGTATATTTTCTTTAATTACACACATGTTCATTTGAAAATTTCGAAATTACGTAGATATCAGGCAGTGTGAAAACAGCCTAAAGGTAAAAGTAGGAGGGATTCATTTGAATTTTTTGAAGAAAAAAAATGGTCCATCAGCTGAAAAAGGTTGAGAAGCAATGGTCTAAAGTAGATACTCAAAACGAAAAAAAATGTGAACACTGGATAGATTTATTGCGTCATTCCTCACCATCAAGGCAATAAAGCCACCAAAGCGGAGGGGAGGTTACCGAAAGTGGAAGAAACTGACAGAACATTAATGAGAAGACAGGATTTTTATACCCTTTAAATTTATATGACCAATAATTTGTCCTCTGTAGAAAATAAGGGTAAAAAGAGCATTGACGCGACACGGCCAGAGAAAAAAGGACAGCACCAAACTTGAGTGGAAAAAAGAAAGGCTTTATATCAGAAAGAGGAAGAAAGAAAAAAAGGGAAGATAGAAAAATTGAGTTTAAAAAATTGTTGCAAAGAAAAACAGTTTTTTTTTTTGCGAGGACTGGTGGCAGTAAATTACGTTCCATTAACAGTCCTCATTTTTGTTGCCACGTCGGAATATATTCGTCTTCAGGTCGAAGAGGGATTCAGTTTTCGGATGCATTACTGCAACTGTTGGGACATCCTCGTTCCTATGTTGTATTCTTGGTCGCTCCATTTTCGGACACCATCTGGCTGCTGGTTGAGTTTTACGGAGCTAAATAGTCTCGTCGGTAGCACAGGAAAAAAAGAGCTGCGATAGTCTGCTTTCAGCCCAACCCAGGGGACGATGATAACGACCCCTACAAAGGGAGGCAATTCATTTATCTATATAATATTTTAAATAACAGGACAATAGAATGAACATGATCCAATGAGAGAGATGGCTACTGACATTGTATTTATATTTTTGAGGTTTGTCGTTGGCAGGATACCAAGAATCAGGAGATTTACAGGAGAAAATCGCGAGTAAAAAATATTAGAATAGAAATTACTGTTATATTTAGCAATGAGCGTCACAGATACAGATGTAGAGCTTCCATCGATGAGTTTGGTTTGCATCCTCTCTCCTGTCGTCGTAGTGCCGGCCGCTTTCCACGGCATGCAGCAATAAACGACATCATCAGAAGAGGTCTGGATGCAGCTGGGTTCCCTTCCCAACTCGAACCCGTAGGCCTCGATCGTGGTGATGGAAAGCGGCCGGATGGCATTACTGTTGTGGTAGGATCCACCTAATTTGCATAGTGGAGTACCGACCATATAAATATGGTTGGTACCGGGAAGAGAGAGAGGAATCAAGAGATTCACTCTCAGTCGAACTCTCTGCATTTTGCAGTGAGGGACCCGGCCGAGAGGCAGGGTTTCGTCCGGGGTGGTAGACAGGCCTTGAACCCGTCTAGGCGGGTTCAGAAAGGCCATATTTTTGGCCGAGCCTACGGGCTCGGAGATACACACTTTAAACCGGCCTTGTGCCACATTTTATCCTCGTGGGTGGATAGATAAATACAGGAATCAAGAAATTCAACCAGAGACTCTGCCCGACTGCGACTCAGTCAACACATTCTCCAGGAACGGTCTTACCAGGAATATACAAAAGACTATATGTAAATATTGTGTACATTTTCTTGTTTCAATACATTTTGTTCTAAGTACATTTTGTGTTGCATTATTATTCCATGCATTAGTCAAGTTTAAACAATAACCATTTTCCCTTTTAAAATGGAAAAGTCGTTGATTTGGGATGCGACCTGTGCGGATACATTTTCGGTCGGTAATTTGATCAGGTTCGCGGTTGAACCGGGCCCCGTCGCCCGAGACGCAGAGATAAATAAAATAGTTAAATATTCTTCTCTTGCTGATAGATTTTTTTTTTTACTACTGTGGCAGTGAAGACTTCTGGGGTTATTGGCCCTCGTTCGATGGCGTTCCTTTGGAGGATTGGCGCGATTGCGTCGCGATTAAGGGATGAGCCTCGCGAAACGCGGTGGCTCTTGCAGCGTGCCTCACTGGCCATGGTTCGAGGTAATGCTTTCTCAATCATTGCGGCTGGCAGAGGGCAGAAAAAAATTGTTTATAGTTTCTGGAATTGAGCGAGTTGAGAGTGATTTCATCAAACGTGAGAACGAAAAATCAAAGCAAGAATACTCACAAATTTCAAAATTTTCCTTGACGTCATCTTGTGTGAATAAAGAGTGATTCCATCGAAAGATTTTATAATTATATTTTTGACTGATGATAGAAATAACGTTAATTTTCACTTACCTGTTGGGATAAACAAAATATTTTGCAGTATTTTGTCTAACATACACACACATATATATATATATATATATATATATATATGTTGACGTCACAAGTAAACTCTTTCTATTTTGTCTTGCTGATAGATTTTTTTTACTCCTGTGGCAGTGGAGACTTCAGGGGTTATTGGTGTTACAATTTTTGGGATATATATACTAGTGAGACAACCAAAATGAGCTGACTCATTTTATAGTTCACCAATAGAAGCATTAACCAATCAGAAAGCTCAAAATATTCAATCCGACGTGTATAAAGACAGCCATTTTGTTTTTTCTCCCAAAATATCTTCACTGCCAATCTCTGATATTGAATACATTACGGTCTTCACTGGATTCTATATTCAGAGACTACGGCAAACATGGTTAAAAATTGGCCCTCGTTCGATGGCGTTCCTTCGGAGGATTGGCGCGATTGCGTCTTGATTAAGGGACGAGCCTCGCGAAACGGAGTGGCTCTTGCAGCGTGCCTCACTGGCGATGGTTCGAGGTAATGCTTTCTCCATCATTGTGGCCGGAAGAGGATAGCAAAAAAAACTGTTTATAAAAAAAAAATTAGGAAGAAAATGAGTGACTTATTTAAAAATAAATCGTTTAACATTTTAGCAATGATTAACAGAAACTGAAAGAAACGGAGAAAACACTCATGAGAAGAGAAAGCAATTAAAAAAAAGATGTTGCATTTAATAAACCGGAAAAGAGTTTGATAGGCGAGAAGTTGGAAAGAAGTAAACTTAGAATATTAAAAGTCTGAAATTCTACTCAGCAATTCTTACAGAGGATGAACTTTCTCTCGGCTCCACCCACCGAAGAAAGTAGCGCTAAATTCAATGATTACGGTCAGTATTTTAACCTTACTTCTTCGTCTCGTTTGTCTGGAAATATCCAAAGATAAAATTTAAAGATTAAGATAAATATGTCTCAGATAAAATTTGATATCACAAAGTAAAAGGGGGAGGTTCTTTGTCTTACTGAAAATAAAACCGTCTTTCTATTACAATTAGCCACTGAAACGTGATGATATATATATATATATATATATATACTGCATATATATATATACACAGACATTTGAAAACCGATGCTTAAGCAGAGTCAGCAAGTCCAGTATGGATGAAATTTTCAATTCTCAGTTAATCTCTAATTGCTTTGAAAACAAAATTATTTAAGATTTCACTGAGACTGCCAAGTTGGCAAGTTGATTTTTATGGTGTCCAGATCCCCAACAGCAATGATCGACTCTCTTTATAAACCACAATTTTTACACTTCTCATTTTAATCATATTTTTTTATCTGTCTATATTTCTGAGATGAGGTTATAGAATCCTCCATACTTGCCTGTCATCCCCCTACGGGAAGATGCACTCTTCCCCAAATTAACCTTTAACCAATCATCACTTCACTTTTCCAAACTCAACTTCCCATTGGTTAAAAGAACAAAAAAAAAAATAAAGCAAGTTGAGACAAATCCTTTTTACCCGCGCAGCCTATTTGAAAACCCAAAAATCTATAAAAAAAAAAAAAGAAAAAAGAATCGCTCGACTTAATTCAAGTCAATCAGACATTGAGTTTTGAGAGATGCCAACAGACTCCAAGTGTGCCAACACACTGACTCAATAACACAACTCGACACAACTCGAACTACTATTGCCGCGTGACGAAACTTAACTTACAATTTACTAAAAAGTGACATTATCACTACAAAATATTAATTGTACATTTAATTAATTTTAGCATATCAGTCAAAGGCACACAACTCTTCATAACTTGAATCAACACTTACAATTGTCACACACATACACACTATTATTTGAACTCACACAACTGAGATTTTTCCTTGCAGAAATCAAACTGTTTTAATTTCATAAACAAACTTAAACCATCAACATTCATTCACCAAATCTCTGCATGGACACTCTTGGCCATGTTATCTCACTTGCCATATTTAACAAGCAACCTATCATCACTTTGTGTATGTCAAATATATATATATATACATTCATGTTATTGTTGAAATCTATAACTACGTTGTTTTTTCCTTGATTTCCTAAAGTTGTATTGTCTTCATATGTTCGTTTAATTTATTTATTGGGGATAAATGCATACTGTAGATGCACATTTTAGGCCTTCACACAATTTCACCTTCTGACACATCTTACTTAGCATAAATTCTGCAACAAGGTATTCTATTTATTTACATTATTTACATCGCCACAAAGCCCAGTGGATAAAAGCGTTGGTTGGATCAAGTGAATTGACCGAAAGAGCTGTGAGTTCAATACCTGTCTACTGCAGTGCTGAACAAATAATAAATAAAACGTTCAATTCAAAATTCCAATCACCTGAAGAAGGTCGGAAAATACAACGGCTGAAACGTCGCGAACACGACAATAAAGATGAGGACAACAGTTCGAACTATGTAAATAATGTACATAGTTTTTTTATGTTTTTCTTCTTCGATTACCCTATAGAAATTAGGGGAAACTATATCCATTTTTGTATTTTTAACAAGGCAAGTAATAGAATTCGTTTATTAATACAGGGTATTAATAAAGGTGTACATATGTATAAGTAAAAAAATGATTTTGTAACGATAACGATTCTAAGCATCTCTCAGTATATATATATATATATATATATATATATATATATATATATATATATATATATATATTTAAAAATGTGTGTGTCTGTGTGTGCAGATAGGTAGAAAAAAAGGAAAGAACACATTAGGTAAATAATCCGGAGTTTTTGTTTTTATTTTTAAAAAACAGTGCTCCATACAGAGGTAGAGATGAAACAGGGCTTGATGCTTTAAGTCAATTTAATTTTAATAATTATATTGAGCTTTTCGGCCATCTTTTTTTAAACATGAGCACTCTTATGTAGCGAAGGAATCATATTTTTTTAAAATAATTATATATATATTATAATCATCTACAGACAGACTGTTTCGTGGTATTTACAGCTCATCATTGTAGCTAGACGTCCGGTTGCTTCGAGCAAGGGTTGAAACCCGGCTGATTGGCGTCAATCGGAGATTCTACCCCGAAGCCGTTGGCCCACGGCAGTGATATAGGGAAATTTAAGCGTATTTATTTTTAGATAAACACATAGTGACAAAGAGAACTCGATTCGCTTTAGCGAGGAGTCATGCGTTATTAGCCGTAATTGTCACTGTACAAAAATCGACTTTTTGCCTCGTATTATATATATATATATATATATATATATATATATATATATATATA